TTGTCTAGAAGTGATTTTGTGCTACTTTCCTATACTGTTATGGGCAAGGCTATAGAAGTTGAGAGTTGATGACATCACTTCCTGCAAGAAATCTTAAAAGATGGCAGCTCACTGGAAATAAGCACTCGATTTTTAAATGATCAATATTGACCATATTAAAACATTTTCCCATATTTTGCTAAATATGGAAACTATATATATGATTATAGCTACCATATCAAGAGAGAAGGGTCTGGCAAGGAATATTCCTTTAACATAATACGATGACAAATACTTAAAATATATATTTATTTAAATGTTATAGAGGAATTACAACGTGTACATATTCACAAAACATGTCTTATGGTTTATAAGAGATATATGCCTTACATTTCTCTTTCGACGTTACTGTTGCACATTCTCAGATTTTCTGATGGTAATATATTCTTAGACATAACTGCAGGTTATCAGCTGATTTTTGGTGAAGAAAATCAAAACCATTTTTTTCTCAAAGCTTCATGAATTCGACCAGGTCTTGTCTTGATGGTTGTTTTATAAACAACTGAGCAATATCTAACTTGGGGCAAAATAATTTTAGCCAAAGCCATAGTTAGTCAATGAAGAACAATACGCCCCCCCCTTTCTTGATGGTTGACCCCTGGCGGTGACACTCCATATCTCAAAACGTATTAAGACACATTTTCGAAAAACTACAATAATTTTAGCATATTTCATTCTTAAATATATAAAAACGATTCATTGATACCATTTACATTACCAATATTGAAAAAATAATTCAAAATGACGATTTGCTGATAATGTTTTTTTGTATTTCTAAGAAAAATAACTTCAAAATTATAGTTGAGAAACCTAAAACATACACTCACAATTTATTTCATATAATTTTCTGTTGCAGTTTGAACTCCAAATTGTAAAAAAGGGGATTTAGTTTTTACTAATATTTTTACCCCTAATGACGCGCATAATTCAGCCTACCAGTAACAATTCGCAAGCTACTGTACTGATGCACTTAAGAATTACATTTGAATAGGGATCGGCAGAATTCTTCATGACATGCTGGACGGGATCATTACAAACCCAACGTGATTCAGCATCAAGGAGCTTGTATTGAGCACATTACTAATTATTGAGCTGCCCTTGTAAAATGGTGTTATACAAAGAAAAAACGTACACCATACAAAACGTACATGCTGTATGACAGGTCTATAAAAAATGTAAAGTTTTTGGACGACCCTTTAGATTATTATGCATTTTAATTTTAAAGAATCTATCGTTTACCAGTACCTGAAACAGTTTGGCATGAAATGTTTTCACTGCCTTTTTATATTCCGGAGTGTTTACAGCTGACCAACACTCAGCAACTTGGTCGATTATTGGTTTGTTCCAAAACCCATGTAGGTCCTCATGAAACGAATATTGAAAACCTCTGAAGAACTGTATAATGTTATTTGCTGCATGGTCTCTTAGATTAGCTAAAATGATAATGAAAAATTGTCGATCTTTGTCCACTTTTTTTAAATCATTGTACAATCAGACACATACAAAAGTAATTGAAGATAAATGGAATACTAACCAATCAGTTTTTTGATTGAGATCTTTTTTTATCTCCCATTGCGTTGTTACTTTTTGAAAATTACGTTGAAATGATACCCCGTTGTGCCCACTTTGTGTACCTACCTGATCTAATGATGCGATCTGCTATAACCATGCCATCTTCATACGAAAGCACTCCATCTTTGTCAATGTCCCAAGCAAAATGAACTGTCATTTTCTTCCTTAACCAGGTGCGTGGAATGTCTTTCACCTAAACAGAACTAAGTTTGCACTGTTTTGAAAAAAGTGAAGGAACAAAGCGATGGTCCCGATTGATAATTATTAAGTATGTATCCGAAAAGTATATGTTATTAGTCCATTGCATGCTGTCTTGCATGTATCGGTACTAATAGGTACTTTTTCGAAAATTCATATTTTTTCTTGCTCGTGAGTTTTTGGCATGGGAATTTCTGACAATGAATAATAGACAGATAAATTAAAGACAATAATTAAAAGTTGAAATAGTTTACGCCTATATTTTTACTCTAACTCATCTTCATTTAAATTGTTGAATTATATTGATTAACGAAAACAAATAACTTGCCTGGTATTTTTTGGAATCCATAGTAAGAGTAACATTTTTTTTAAATGGCAAAGGTTGGGTGAATACGTACTGTTTATGATACAGAAGACCTAAATAAAGATTAAACAGGGCACAGGGTGGGATAGATGGCAGCGTTTAGAGGCTAAAGTCAGAAAAAGTTGCTCCTGCTTTTTATTGTTTTATTGATGAATTAGGATATACATCCAGTAACATAGTTTAGGATATAATATGACACACATATAATACTTTTAGGATACATTTGTAAATTATAACAAATGAAGCAACAATAACTGCTCAGATATTGGACAGCAAAAACATGGTAGGATAAAAACTTTCTTTGTATCACATGCTAAAGACACAATGGAACGCAGCACATACTCACGTTCAGCATCTAGCTCAGAAAATGCAACCCTAAATGACATCCACAATATGACACTATCTATGAAACAAACTATGGCCACTAAGGATGATATAAGTCCATTTAAACGAAAGTATCAATGAAATGATATGTTCAATAAAATCAGTTGATAATACATCTGAGGTTCTTCAAAGGCCATAATTTCATTAGAAAAACAGCTCAGTAAAACCCAAATTGAACAAACAAATCTAAAAACTCGTTCCATGCGTGAGAATCTAATCGTCTACAACAATTCTGAGGATGTGGGTGAATCTACTCCAGGGGAGCGAAACCCTCAAAAGCTAAAGGACAGAAAAAGTCAATTTCGTTAGCGATAACTTACAGTTTAAGAATCTGGAATCAATCTTCATTATTCACTCAGTTATAAGACCGAATGAAATGCGGTTATTCTTTTGACTTCCGGTTTGGACTCCCGTTATCGTTTGGCCATAATCACTGATTTAGTGTATATTTCAGGGGCGGATCTGGGAACCAACAAGGGGGGGCCCAAATTTCAGGTCAGAGAAAAGAACCGTCCGCGCTTGCGCGCAAAACAATTTTGGGCCCCTAAAACCCCAAAGTGGGCCCAAATTTTGAAATTTTGAGGCCCATTTCCTTCAAAATTTGGCCTGAAATTAAAAAATAAGGCCTTAAAAGGCCCAGTTATGACCAAAAAGGCCCACTTTTTGGGGCTTTTTTGGCCCAAATTTTTTTTGGGCCCAATTTTTTTTCTGGGCCCACCCAAGGGGGGGGGGGGGCCCCCAGCCCCCCCCCCCCCTAATCCGCCAGTGTATTTCACCTTATGTTTTATCTTCAGTTGAGTCTCAATACTCTAAGCATTATTTTGATCTATTTATAGATCGCCAAGAAATGTTAAGAAAAATTCTCTGACAAGTTACAAAAATATGAAAGTTAAATAAACATAGAATATCACTAATCAAAGCCTGGCATGAGAAACAATTATTTGGAATTTTCTTTTTTTCTAAGTTACCGGACTTCATTCTATTACATTAGATATTAGATGGTGCTGGTTGTGTTTTGACAGATTTCACCGGATGGGAGTCTTTAGAGAAGGTCGTATACGCCCTACAGTGCTGCACTTCTCCGATCATTCAGTTCAAGCATCATGGATATCAAATGCTAAGAACCTCAAGGGATCAACATATTCGTTATCACGACAATATATCCAGACGAAGTCCGTACCCGAAGGAAGCAACTACTGACTATCATGATTAACTTATGGATGGAGGGTAAGGTTGCAGTTCTGAATGCAGACAAGCTATATGTTGACAGAGTCCTCTACACAGGACCAGTGGGTGACGAGCCCCCCCCTCTCCAGTTGTCATTTTACATGTACTGAGTAGTTCATATGTACATAGTGTAATAACACACTTGCACTTTTACTTCTGTCAAATACATGTAGCTGTACCTAAATATATTAATATTAGGAGTTCTTTTGTAAAGGGAATACAGTTCACTCTGTTTCAGCACTCGTATTTAATTATCATTACGATTATAACAGAGTCGTATTTTATAATTGCTTCATAAAAGTAATAGCTAATTTTAGCCCAACCTGTTTTTCATTCTCGTTTTTCTATTCCTATAAGGGCTGAACGATGACACGAATATCTCATTTTAAAATCAGGTTTTCTCAGGCAATGTCATCTATGTGTTTTAGTTTGTTAATGTATAGAGGCACATTTTAAAGTAATAAATATGACGGTGTGCGTTACCCTTCTATTGTGTATATCATCATCCTTTTAAAAACACTATACCGTAACAAAAACATACACTTTGTGGTATTCTAAATCACGATTCGTATTTTTGAATACATTATGATATGTAAAAATTGTACAGTCAGGTATGACACTTAAATAAACTATTTTAAACTAAACTGTGAAGTTTTACAAAAACGTATAAGAGCGTAAACTAAAAGGTTATTCAAATATACCGTAATCAAAATTGCTACATTTTTGCTTACATATTTGCCCTATTAAGCGTACATAGCTTTTAAAATTAAAAAAAACATTGTATATATGAAGTGATCTTAAAATGACATGTTACTGATTTTGTCAAAAGAGTCTTCTATTTGATCGATATGACTTTAAAGGGTGGCATCTAGGCATGTACAATTTGTCATCTTTGAACTCTGGGATTATTCCCACTCTTTTCTGGATCCATTCAAAACATAATATGTAAGTAATCGATCTCAAAATTAGAAATTTCTAATATTCTGTTATAACTGAGGAACAAAATTAACCATCAAAAAACATAATATAACACTTTTCGACCAATAAAGAGTTCCTGTCGCTATACTTTTAGCAAGGCTTATTCAGAGCTAGCACCAAAACAATGAAACATTAAATATTTACGTTGACAAAAAGTATCTGAATTATTTATCGTTTCCAAGGTGACTGTATGTTATACTTGCCTCTTGGAAACATTATACTATCTTTTCACTATATATAGAAATAAAATACGTTAGACAGGCGTTTGCACTTTGAATGTAACAAGAGGTCAGTTGGATTCCTTTAAAATGGTACAGAAAATGGGTAAGCATATACATAAATACATCACTTTGAAAGTATATGAAATATCGAAACAACTATACATTCATGTGTGCGTAGATCTAGGCAGGTGGATCTAGGCAGATCTAGGAAGGCCTAAGTAAAAATAAAATAATACTTATCTGCTTTTTGATAAAATATTAAAATAAGGTCCTATAATGATATTATATGTCAAATATAATCAAAAATTACCTCACTTTAAATTTAGTCATCGACTAATTTAAGAGTGTGGCAACGTCCCCGACATTTTAAGTTTGTGTTGGTTGGTTCTACCACATGATCATTTCAGGTGCTGCTCTTACTTCATCACATTTTCTATATTTCAAATAACTTGATGACTATATTGCTAAATTATCTTAAAATAATGCTTTGTAAAATTAGAGTTAGAGATGAGCCTATGAACTCATATTTCAATTAAAGTGGCAACATATATTTGGACAGTTTTCTACATAAATCGAATTAACAGATCAATCATTGGGCAAATACTGACTGAAAAATAAATCACTGTTTTTTGGTGTCATGTCGATGTTCATTAATCATTTATAGCAATGCCTTTTTCTGGTGACTATTCTATGTTCCGTAATATCAAAAGCAACATATCTTCGATCTGAGAGTGGACCTTTGCCGTGATGTCATTGAATCGGGTGTACATGTTGCTAAACAAAATGAAACCTGGCATGTGGTATTTTTATAAGTGGGAATTCTGAGTTTATTTGCTTTTCTAGAAAAGTGTGAGGGTTCTTTTTGAACCTTTTTTGAATTGTGTTAAAAACTTCATAGTGGCATTAACTTTGTTGCGTTGGGTTGTTTAACTATGACAGAGGCGCAATATAACACACTTTAAATGTTCGATCAGTACTGTCCATATGTCTGTGATAAAATACCATAACCATAATTGCAAATTGAACGGTAATATTAAAACTGTTCGTCCGGTGTTAACTCAAATAAAAAATTCTACCTTGACAAATGTATATTAGTACTTCGGGAACACGGGACACGGCCAAATTACCATCCAAAACCAGGGATAGGAAAGAAGAAAGAAAAACACCAAGAGTTATCAAGAAAAGCAAAGGTGTTGCTTAGATGATAAAATGTGCTGAATCGGCACTTTTTAGCCATAATCAAATGTTCACACAACGCAGCACGTGATGTCACATACCAAATAATAGTCTATATTGTTAGTGATTGATCTGTCAAATAAATTATAGCATGAAACTGTTTACTGGGATTGTCAATTGTAAATAAATAATTGATACATTTTTTTGTACCGGTTAATTTGTCAATGTCCTTTCATTGTTAATGTCCTGCAAATAAAACCATTGTAGCTCTTAAGGTGGCCTATAACGATGTTAGTAAAATAACGATTTCCCTGCACCATGATGTTCAATTAACTATTACGTGTCAAGAACACATAAGGTACTCGAATGATCTTGACTAAACATCATGGTGAAGAAGAATTGTAATTTCACTTAGTGGCTTCACGAAGAAATAAACACCGTTATGAACCACGTTAGTGAAAGTATACTAGAAGGGGAAATCAAAAACCATTCCCCGGCCGATCGATGACATATGATAAAGCAGAGACATATATTACATTTGATTATGTATGTCTAAGGGTGCAAACGAACTATAAATCTATTTTTTGGTTCCATGCACATGCGTTCGGTTTTTAAATAATTTATGATTTTTTATGCGTATTTGCAGAGACATACTTGATAAAGTTCATAAAGTTCTTGCAAAAGTACTCTAAAATTTAAAATTTTCACTCAGTATACCTGCACTATTCATGCATTGAAATCCTAAGTAATAATTATTAAGTCCTTAAGGAAAAAAAGTTATGGTTATAGTCATATGAGTCAGGGGTAGGCGGAGTAGGCAAAAAAGGATCTGTTTTGTTTGGATGTTCAAAATCTTTTTACTTACCGTATCCTGTTTACTTTAATAACAGTATCTCAAGAGTATAGGTGTTCAAAATAGTTTCCATCATGGTCTATATACATCTGCTGTCTTACTTACCATTCCTCAAATATATGAGGGAACCCTTTTGGAAAATCCATTGCAATTGATCTTTGTATGGATGGCTTTTATCAACGTCATCTGATCCTCACTGGATTTCGTTCTTGGACGGCCTGATCTAGCATTGTCCTTACCATTTGTTCTACCATCAGTATAAATGTCTTAGTCTGTTTTGTAAATGGTTCTTTTGACCATAGCCTACTTCCAAAACACCTTATGAATATGATCAAGTGTTTGTTTTCTTGAATTTCCCAGTAAAACATACATCCCAGTGTTACTGATTATTTGTAATTGCAAATCATCGTATTTTGCAACCATTTCCACAAAAATAAAATTGACACTGCCTTTCACAAAGTCCGATGAGTACCATGAGTGATGTCATGAATCAAAGAAATTTCAACTATGATGTCATCATATGACATCTTAGTGTTGACATGGCAACATTGACTTGTTTTTATTTTCAAGGATCATATTTTTTATCTACATTTTTCTTTTTTCAATGCTGCTCCGCCTACCCCTGACTTGTGTTACTATAGCAATCATAACCTTTTTTCTTCAAGGACATATTCATTGTTATTCAAGATTCGAATGTATGAATAGTGCAGGTATACTGACTGAGAATTTCAGCCAGATTGATTGAGAAACAAAAAATTTAGAGTACTTTTGCAAGAACTTTATGAACTCCCTGTATAAAACAGTTTTTTTATGTCTCTGGTATTTGATGTTTTGATGAAGTATGTTGAATATTACAATTTAATTTTTTGGCGAACCTCAGAACCTTAGACGCGTAAATCGAATTTACCATAACCACGGTGACTATCCAGGCCCCGTATATTGCGAGCAAGTTCCCGCCATCGCGAGCAATGACCTCATGTTAGAAACGGGGCCTTGGGAGATATGATAAAATATAGATATAATTGAAGAAAGTCGTTGCCCTGCGATTTAAATGACAATTGTACTATGAAATAAAGTTGTTCTGAATTTTACTTACTAATAATAGCAGTAATGGCGGACCAGTGAATGAATATTCCAAAATTTTGGTGAGTTTTCAGGTTTGAATCCTCGGGCAGATATATTATATTGGCCTGGGGACAATCCCAATATTCTGAACCTCATATATGATAATCTCTATGGATGTATATGTTATCAGAGTATATAGAAATTCATTTTTTTCTTGTAGCAGAAGCCGCTTCAAAAGAAAACCCCAAAACCCCGAAGACCAAGCCTGCAAAAAAGCGCAACTTGGATGAGAAAAAAGAAAACGAAGCACCAGAAAATGAAGAAACAAAGAAACCAACAAAACCAAAATCGACGAAAACCAAAGCGAAACCGTCAAAAAATAAGCCAACGACCAAATCTACTAAATCCGAAAAGAAGAAAAACGAAGTGAACTACAACAATGAAGAAGCAGTAGATGAGGCGAAGCAAGAGGAAAAAGAAGTTGTTGACATGGAGGTGAGTTTAATCTTTATTACTTTAACCTTAAGCCTGGCAGAAAGAGAGGACAGTTTGCATTATTTAAATCCCTCCTTTTTTATGAAAGATATGACACATTTTGATAAAATGATTTATCGAATTATTGTTTCTAATTAACTCCTAGTTAAAATTGTAATTCATGTGAAAGCAAGTAATTATAACCATAGATTTGTATTGCTCACGTGAACCTACGCTTCTTTATAAAATTAGACGTATCCCTTTCTTAAGCCTTAGTTACATTTGCTCCGATTTTCGCCCGGCCGATCTGGATTGAGTATTTGGTTCAAAATTGAATACAATATTGAACAAAATACTCAATCGGCCGGACGTCGGCCGATGGATCGGAGCAAATGTGATCCAGTCATTACAAATGATCGTGTCTGACTCGTCAGAGAAGTAAGGCGTCTTTAGAATTACGAGAAAACATATCTTCTGAGTAGGTTAAAGCGCATTTTAATGTTCAAAAAGATTTAACGGAAATATGGTTGAGATTTTGTTAAATTAAAACTGCAAAACATTTTCTTTTGAATTTTTGTCTTTAAAGGCAGAATCTGATCTATAGGGAATGACAAAATTATAAGCAACATGTATAATTGACCTACCAATCTATTCCTTACAATATCAAATACAATATCTCCCAAAAGATTTACGATATATTATAAATTGGTGAAGTTATAATGCATTCACAGTGCAAAAATGGGTGAAAAATGTTTAAATGCTCCCAAATAATAAGAATGGTAACCATTCTTATAGAAAAATAACACACCATTGTAAAAATCTTTAGTTTTCCTGAAATAAAGTGTGCACTTGGGGGATTTTTAGAAAATAGACATGACGAGGAATGACACGAGCCCAAAATATTCTAAAATTGAAACAAGTTTTTGTTTAGCCTGCTCGCTATATCTGATTCTCTCTTTAAATAAATGAAAAGCATAAAAAGTAATCTTAATTCAACCACGTAGGTTCAAAATACTTTTTTGCATTCATTGTAACCATTCGTATTTTATTGCGTTTTTGGTTGCATTTGGTCGCAATATTTAGAAGTCTAGTAACTACAATTCTGTATATTAATGGTTGCATTCAATGGGTGTACAATAATTGCATGTCCTTGGTTGTTCTTTTCAACTTTATATTTTACGCAATGGTTAATCTAATCGATTTAATTCGGGGTTTTAAGGTTTCAAAAAAACTTTTTGGAGGGAAATAATAATTTTAGGATTTAATCAATAAATGCTAGATTTCTTTACAGTATATGATATACTTTACAATCAAATTATGGAATTGTATCAATGATTTTTCAGAGGGAAGTTGGAACAATTGAATCAAGCAAAGCTACTCCAAGACAACCAACAGAGAGTGAAAACATGCAAGGTGAATCGAATGCACAAGAGCAGGAACCATCGAAGGAAGAGGTCGTAAAAGACGAAGATGATGCAATTCATAAAGAGGAAAAAGGCGAGGAAGATGCAAAAGAAGAAAAAGTAAAAATGAAAGCGGCAGAAGAGGCTGAAGCAAAGCAACAAAAAGACAATGATAAAACTGGTAATGTTGATGACTCTGTAGCAAATAACGAGGAGGAAGATATTGTATACAACACAGAAGAGGACGACAGTGTTAAAACATCAATGACGACGTGGGATGTGGGAAGGTATCTGTTCTTGTTAATGGCACATTTCCATGTAAACCATTCTTCAGAGGCACTTGTTATTTACTTGTTCATGAATTTCTTTTCTCATGTTGTGTGTTATGTCTGAGTCACGTTTGCTCCGATTCATCGACCGGCGCTCGGCCGATTATTCTGTTCAAATCTGAATCAAATATTGAACAAAATACTCAATCAGCCGTGTCGACGGCTGATGAATCGGAACAAATGTGACTCGGGCATAAATGGTACAACAAGATGATGTATGGTTGCACGATTCTCAGCAACATTTACAATTTACAATATCTGTTCGATACCATCCGGAATGTTTTATCTTCCCAAAATTATGATACCTTATCAAAAAATAGGGATTTAAGTTATACATAAATGCATAGTCTATTGTATGAAATATATATATTAAATATATTTTAGACAGGATCCGAAACGTCCTGTTTAGTAAAATAAAGGTTGTGAAAAGAAGAAAGATTATTTTGTAGTTACAGTAAAAATTACGCTAGTTTTCCCGGTTTAACGTTTCGAGATTTTTTAAGGAGATACATTGCTATAGGAATGGTTTGTACCCAAAACATTCTAGATTTAAAACATTTTGGAAATGTTGTTCAAAAAATATTCTAAGTTGTTTTATATTTCCAGGAAACTGACCCCCCAACAGGCTCAGCAACTGATCAAGCAGGCAAAGATTCTGGTTAAGCAAATCAACTTTTTACAACAACAGACGGATAAATATTTGGCCAAGGACGAGTTGATCATGCAGGTAAAGAATAAGATATAGAGAATGCCAGAAGCAGTCATTTCCAAATATGTCAATGTATCTCTGACAATTCCAAAACTCGAAAACTGGACTTCGAATACGCCGAATATCGTTTGTAGGCATGACATGGAATGATGAAATAACAAAATACAGTATAATTATGGCATTTTCTCCAAACTTAGAGTTTCTGACTTCATAATAATTGATATTCTGCATATAGCTATAGGCTTTAGAGTAATCAATCATGTTGTTAATACCATAATCTGCTATCTTATTTTTGAACTGAGCTAATAATGCAAGTACTTGGGCCTTTGATTAGTTAAATTTTGTGCAACATCTGTTTTCATGTGGTTTAAATTTCTGCTAAATTTAATTTTTAGATAGATGATACGATCGAGCAGACAATAAGTCGTAACAAAACGTTGCTCGTTTTTAAAATTTCGGACTTTGCCAAGAAATTTGAACAAGCGAAGGATGATGACCCCGAACACAAAGGTCAGCAAAGTCTATGTATTGTTACAAATGTGGTTTAATATGTGATAAAAATCGAGTTAATTGTTATAAGGACTATCATTATATCTCTTTATTTCCAATTGAGCATGGAGTATACAAAATTGAGCAAACGGCCTCAAATAATCTCATTTGATTACTGACACATTCAACAAGGCCCCTTAATGTCTAATACACGAGCTTGTAGACACTGGGACAAATTAATCTATATATCTCACATTGACTCGGACTCCACACCATTTGTGAACGCTAGATGATGCCTCAGTTACATTCGATCTACACACGGCAACCGTACTGCGGTCATAGCTTCCCAAAATCGAGAGAAATAATCAGCAGAAAATATAGGGATTAGCAGTATGATGTAGATTTACATTTTCCGCATCGATCTTGTTAAGCTAAGGCTGCCGAACAACCACCGTAGAGCAAATGTGACTGTTTTTCTTTAACGGCTTCATACATTTATACAAAGTAACATTTTCCTTATTTATGAGCATTGCCCTAAAGATCCAGCAGATGATACATGTGTATATAAACGGCCTAAAACAAGTACTTTTAATTTATTTCAGGTATTGAATTCTCCCCTGTGTTTCGTACTGCTCCTCATGGCTACCGACTGGGGATGAGTTTGGTGTTAAATGGAGATGGGCCATCTGGTAAGAGGTTGTAAATGTAACACATATTTAAGTTCAATGGATTATGGACACAATACTATACGATTGAATGCATATATCCTTCATTGCCATTTTTGCAATGAAATGAGAAAATGAAATTATGAATAAAAAAAGATAAAAAACAAAATGGCGTTCTTAATAATTTAGTAACCAGCATATACAAAGCAAATTGCATATTTTCGAATCAATAAGGTGGTAGATACATAAAAACATAGGACATGTTAAAAGCTGAAAGAGTCGATCTCCTCCTGCAAACTGAAGAAAGATTTTTGAAGGCATCTTTCCACGGCCAATATTATTCTCATTTTTAAGGAAGAAAACACTTGTAATTTTCTGTACTACTTATATTGGGCGAAATAAATATATATTTTTTCTAGTGAAGGGCAAGTTTATGTCGATCTTCTTCTGCATTCTGAGAGGAGATTTTGACGGGATTCTACCTTGGCCATTTGCCCGACATTTATCATTCTCGTTGCTGGACCAGAATGCTGACGTCGAACAGAGAGAGCACCATGTTAAAACATTCAGACCACGACTGATAAAGCAGAATGTTCCCTTTTTGTGGAGACCTGGAAAACACGGGAGAAACCCTAGCATGGGTGAGCATTTCTACTTTCCTCTTTAGATTAATTTTCTTAAAATACGGCACGAGCAGGATTAAGAACGTTCATTTTCTTTTTATAGTATTTTCACCAATTTGAAAAAAAATTGGAAATGTCATTTCAATTTTAATCATCATAAATGTAAATGATTTGATTTTGAACTTTTTTTTACCATTAAGTGTGAATATTCACTTAATCATTTGATTAATTATTATTGAGTATTATCAATCGTGAAAATTACATTGAAATTCTCGTCATGTACATCTACCTTAAAATTCGACTTTACCTTGAGTTTTTACTTACCACTTTCCTCGCCTACCTTGCTGCAAATCTAGGAGTCAAATGCTCAGTCTTTTAATTGATACGTAGGAGAACCAGAATTGAAGTAGAATTATTACCTCGTCTATAATAAAGATGTTTAGAAAGAAGCCTCTTTGAGGTCAATCTTTTAATTTTCAGGTCTTTTTCTCACTCCATCATAAATGTCCGCTATAATTTGAAATTAAAAATGTGATTTATTTTTTAGGTATTCCACGGTTTGTGTCTCACGAGATCTTAAAAAGCAGGGATTACATCAAGGAGAACCAAATCTTCATCAGAGTTGAACTAAGTGATTGATTCCCATTCTATCAGAGGAGTGAACAATGTATAACATATTTTTTAGTTCAATGAGTGAAAAATATATGTATTATAACTCAAATAATTGTACTTGTAAAGAAACTTATACATGAATAAAAGTTCTTACTTGTATTTATAGTCAGAATCGAGGTAACTTTTCAAAATCGGTATAATAAAAAGTGAATATAACTCACTAGTTATGTTATTGTTCTGGTAAAGGTTGCCGAGTCCTACATACAAATCTAGCTGCTCCAATAATCCAGAACAACACGCCCTTTTCATCAAACAGCATGTCAAAACATTGAACAATAAGATCGACAAAACACATTTTTCATATTTTGTTCATTGTATTAACTACGAGATATTATTATTATTAACTACTAGATATATTATCCAAATCTCAAGGAATAAAACAGTAAAGCATGATAAGCTTTTTCCTGAACTTCCTTGTTTAATCACACGAGTCAAGTTTGGTGAAATTAAGTCCACAAACGCTTTGCATTGTATTCTTACAAGATCAGAAATAATCTTACACCAATTTTTAAAGTTTAAGAATCCGAGATATTAAGCCAGGATTCCCACCTTCGACAACTTCAATTGTCAATTCACTGCATTCCCGATAACCGTTCAAGTAATTGCTAGCACAGCATCTGTAAATCCCTGCCTGGTTGAATTGGATGTTGTTGATTTGTTTTGTGTCTCCGAATTCCTCAGTACCAAAGTTGGGATCATATGTTGTTCTAAACTGCCACGTGTACGTTGGGGTAGGGTTTGCTAATGATTCCCCCTTTAGTTGTACATTTGTTCCTACTGTGCGTTGTAATATAGCTTGGTCTGGAATATTGTTGCCATCGACAAAGAGGGTGGGCTTACGTGCCGGATCTAAAACGTCCATGGTATTATTAACGATTATCAAAGAAATAATTTGCAATATTTACGAGGTGTATTGACTATTGCTATGGATACCTTTAAATGCATAGTTAAGTTTAATGTTCGGAAGCACCATGTGTTCCGCTGTATCAAAAATGATTCAGAATAAGGATTTAAAGGCACAATCAGATCAACGGCGGGGGTGACAAATTTACAAGCAACATGTACAATTGACCTACCAATCTATTCCTTACAATCTCAAATACAATATCTCCCAAAATATTCATGATTTGCTATACATTGGTGAAGTTATAATGGATTCAAAGTGCAAAAATGGTTGAAAAATGTTTAATATTTATTTTAAATAATAAGAATGGTAACCATTCTTATAGAAAAATAATACATTATTTTAAAAATCTTTAGTTTTCCTGAAATAAAGTGTGCACTTTTGGGAGTTTTAGAAAATAGACACGAAAAGGAATGACTATGAAAGCCAGAAATATTCTAAAACTGAGTCAATTTTTGTAAGGTTGCTCGCTAGATCTGGTCCTCTTTAAGTCTTGGACAATGATTATATGCTAAGGGTGTCTTCCACACAATATTGCATTACACAACACAACACAACATCACATAACATATTATAACATAACATAACGTAAAGTAACGTTACGTTACGTAACGTAACGTAACATAGCATAGCACCTGAGACTGATAGCACTAAATAACAACAACATAGCATATTCGAATACTTACATTGTATATTAAGCCTAGTGGAACAGTGTTGTTGGATATTTAGTACGCTGAGAGAACAATATAATTCCTTCTGGTTATCAACACTAGATGCGCTTTTAGTGTACCTTGACTTCAAAACTCCTGGTGTAGTCTCATCTGGTGTTGCAGTTTGCTCGATACCATTAAGTGTCCAAGTGATAGTGGGTTTCTCGCTATCATCTCTCTCCCCTGCATATGTGACAGACCACTCAAATGTGATGGTATTATTCTGAATAAATGAAGTAGTCCCTGACATTGGACACAATGCAGGTTCTGGAAATATAATGAAAATCAAACAGACCACGCATGTGATGGTATTGTTCTCATTTGATGCTGAAGTCCCTGACATAGGACATCTCGCGGGTTCTGGAAATATAATTTCAATCAATAAAGACCATTTAAATGTGACGGTATCGCTCTCATTTAATGTTATAGTCCCTGACATAGGGCATGGACATATAATTTATATCAATGAAGACCATTCAAATGTTAAAGTATCGTTCTCTTTGATGTTTTAGTCCCTGACATAGTTCATGTTCAAAGTTACACTTGAAATAATGGTCAATGCATTATAAAGTGGAAAATAAACAACAACTTACTAAGAACTACCAAATGTGGCTCCAGGTCACCAATCGGTGTTCCAGTTAGTACATCATTACAAGTGTACTTTCCTGCATCATCCAAGACAACATTTTGTAGGCCAAGGTTGTAGGATTTCTCCGTGCTTATAGAATATTTGTGGTGTGGATTAGTTGTAGTTACTCTATCATTGATTGATATTTGTTCACCAGAATTACCTATCCACTGTACAAGATGATCGGCAGATGATATAGTGTCAATATGACAAGTCAACTCAGCATTCTGCCCAGACAACACAGCCCTGTCTTGTGGACCTTCTATAAGGACTATATCACTTTGTCCCGATGCTACAAATATATATTACAGATTGAATTAGGTGGAATAGTGTTAATATGACAAGTCAACTCAGCATTCTGACAAGACAATACGGCCCTGTCTTGTGGAGCTTCTATGAGGATTATATCACCTTGACCCGATGCTGCAAGATATATTAACAGATTGAATAAGATGAAATAGTGTCAATATGACAAATCAATTCAGCATTTTGCCCGGACAATTCGGCCCTGTTCGGCGGAGCTTATATGAGGACCATATCACCTTGATCCGATGCTGCCGAATATTTTTACAGATTGAATAAAATGATATAGTGTCAATATGACAAATCAACTCAGCATTCTGCCAAGACAGCCCGGCCCTGCCCCGTTGAGCTTCTATGAGGACTATTTCACTTTGACCCGATGCTGCATGCAAGATATATTTATAGATTGAATAAGATGATATAGTGTCAATATGACAAGTCAACTCAGCACTCTGCCCCCAGACAATACGGCCCTGTCACTCTGGCGGATCTGGGGGGGGGGGGGGGCTGGGGGCAAGGCCCTCCACCCTTGGGTGGGCCCAGAAAAAATAATTTGGCCCAGAAAAAGTTTTGGACCAAAAAAGGCCTTAAGGCCCCAAAAAGTGTTTTTTATCATTACTGGGCCTTTTAAGGCCTTATTTTTATTTTGAAGAAAATGGGCCTCAAAATTTTTTCGCGGAAGTTTTTTTCTCTGACCTGAAATTTGCCCCCCTTGTTGGTTCCCAGATCCTCCCCTGTGTCATGTGGAACTTCTTTGTATTTGGGACAATTTACGATAATTGATATTTTAAAAATCTGTTGTTGTACTAGAGACTGTGACATATATGTTGATTTCATGGACATGCAATGTGTTATTTTTTTTGACCAGACTTTAAGCAATCATTACCACAAGGTACCTGTTTGGAATATTGCTTATCTTTTAAAAAAATATCACTTTAATGATGAATTTTTAGACAATTAAGAAATATTTTATTTTTCGGGAAATATAAACTCGGATTTATCGATTGCGATGATATTTTTAGCATGTTAATAAAATGTATGTGATACGAACTCTTGAAAGCGGGATGTTTGATATGTCTTAGTCACATAATTAAGTATGTTTTACTATATGTATACGATTTGTCAAATATTTGTAACCTCCAACACATCGGCCATATTAATATACACTATTGATACATTATTTGTTGAAAGCTATGCCAGAAGTTGGATTTTAATAACATACCTTCGAGTGCAGACAATGGAGATATATGATCGAGTGTAGGTATTACTGTCGTGAATTCAAGTTGTCTAGATTAGGCTGTCCTATATTTTATATCCTCCAAACATTAAAATATCATATTGTGGAAAAAATATTTTTAGATTATTATTTTGAGAAATGAAAGTACTTAATAAAAGTGTTTAGATAATCATTATTTAATTTTTGAACTATTTGAATTGTCTTTGTAAAACTTTATTAAGCATGTGTTGGAGGATACAAAATGACTTTAAAATTATGTGAAATATAAACTTACAATTAAAAGTTAGTTGTATTCGTATTTCTATGTTTATTTTAAAATTACAGCAAAGAATGGGTCATTGCCAAACCAGGAAATAATACATTTCACTCTCAGTCTCACATATGATCATGTTATAACTTTGTGGGAATAGCGATGCATGTAACCTTTACATTCCCATTCAACATGCAATGCTTTTTTATTTCAATGACCGACACATAACCATACAACTTTGAATGATGTTTCTCATTCCCTCATTGCCCACGCTGCGTGTTTTTTCATGATATTATATTTTGAATGGCGTTTGTCGTTCCTTATAATGAATGTTTTGCCTTTACCCGAACTGATAAATGTTGATTGCACATCTTAGTCATTGTAAGTGCCAGAATAGTTTTAAATAGATTCCAATGAAAATGATTGTATCCAATGCAATCGTTAATACTTCACATGCAATATGAGCAACATGCCCTTGGTCAGCTTTTAGTAATTGGGGGGGGGGGCTTGAACTCATCCCCCTGCCCACACATCAAGAAATTTCCAACACCTGGGGCGACCCTGAAAATTCAGAGGGTGGGTGACGAAAACAAGGCATTAACATGACAAAATGTCACCACCTAGTTGCTCACAATATTATTATTACAATCTTAAGTCAGATTTGAATTTCTGATAACTTGAGATTCTGAGATGATTTAAAAAATAAAACTTGTCAATTTGAAGCAAGTTGAAAAATACCCTTTTTGACCCTGACAAGGCCACTGAAGGTGAAATCTCAAATCTAAAGTCAGATTTGAACTTCTGAGAACTTGTAGATGATTGTCAAAAAAGAATTGTTTAATTTGAAGCAAGTTAAAAAAGTCCTTGTTGACATTTTTGGACCTTGAGAAAGTCAATGAAGATCTGACGTAAGATTTGAACTTCTGATAACTTGTAGATGGTTTGAAAAAAGGTCAATTTGAAGCAAGTTGAAAAAATATATTTTTGACCTTTTTTACCTTGAAAAGGTCGCTGAAGGTCATATCTTAAATATAAAGTCAGAAAACGTGTAGATGATTTTAAAAAAACTGAAGTCAGTCCAAACAGTATTTGTTAAGTTATTGGAAGTTTTGAGACTTGGTACAGACGCCAACCGCCGACCGTCGATCACCAACCGCCAACCGCCCTCACGAAAAAACAGAGACCATAACAATATGTTATTTACCACTTTTTGGTGGTGGCATATAAATGTTGAGTCCCAAATTTTTAAAATAATGCCAAAATTCAAAAAATGCCCAATAATTCCAGTTTCCTATCTAAATTGTCCAATTTATGTGGATATGAGCAGATTTTGGGCCCAAAAATTAGAAATAGAAAGAATATCGTTCAAGATCGCACGATCCCCCAATCCCCCAACACACATAGCCTGGCTACGGGCCTGAGTAATATAAAGAAAGACTTCAGACAAAAAATATGCGTGCGTGTTATTTGGAAAAAGAAATAACCCCAGTAACTTAAAATCATCATAGTCATTTCGAAAAAGCTCTGTTAGATTAGACGCAATCAAAAGCTACGAAAACAAATTTAGTCTCATGTTTAAAAAGCCCTATTCTTCACTAAATTGGTTAGATTCAGGTTTGGTCATCTTACAAGATACTTCTGGTGGAATGTGCATCGGCTTCTTTACGAAAACTAAGACTTTACTTCATCATCTAGCTTAGACACCTTTTATTTTGCTCGTACAGTACTGGGTTTTTATTTTATTAAGCAAAAGGTAACGGTTAAAGATAGAAAATGGAATTTCATCGCTTCCCAAAAAACGTTGTAGAAACGAACGTTTTGATAATACAAATACAATATTTTTAGGATATCAAAATCCACCTCATTCTAAAAAATGCAAGTGTCTAAATTCGATGATGATCACTTAAAGAATAAAAAAGTTAGAAACTCTCCTTTTCAATCCTTCTCATTTACATGTCATCGAAGGAGGCGAAGAAGTTATATTAGGGAGTTAAAGCTTGCATGTAGAATCGAATATATTACTAGGGAGTTAAAGCTTGCATGTAAAATCGAGACGCCAACCTATATGTTGTACCTTACCGTAACCGAGCATTATACCATATACTACATTTGATAGTTTGGAAGTTGGAACAAAAAAAAATTCACGGTCAAGCTCACTGTCTAGGGTGTTGTTGCAGACATTTACATGAAATTATCTAGAAACTAGATCAGATCTTTCTGAAACGATGAAAACATCAGTTTGCTCAAATGTCACCACCCTCGTGTTGTACATACCCTGAGCGTTCACCTGTCACGCTTAATTTGGTACACAACCTGTGATAATAGGACCAGGCCCGTTCACTTTCAAAATTAAACTACTTGAAAGACTTCACAAATATATTATAAACAAGGCGAAAGGAATATATTAAATTAGAATACGTTAAATTTGTATATAAATGAGTGAAAATGAATAAATATTTTGCTTTTCAACATTATTTGTATGATGTTATAGAGTAGGCCATGTCAGAGGTAAAAGTAAAAGGGTTACTCTTGGAATGATTAATGGAGTCTAATCTTAATGTGTTCTCCAAAACAGATATGTTTTGGAGAATTCATGATTATTAGACACCCTTTTCTGGAAAAAACATATTAAATGAAGCCACAAACTTTGTCCTATAGCGAGGGCATCGAAGAAGAACTGTACAATATGTAAAATTGTATAAACGAATCTTGCCCATTTCTTAAGTTATCGCTTTTGACATAGGGGTCGTTCAAAATAATTTGCGGCTAATAATTTCAAACGATAACGTTGACTCTATTTACATTTTTATTTTTACAATTCAATACTATAGCCTTCGACCCTTTGGGCAAGATTTTACTGTTGCCCGTAGAAATGAGAATATTGCTATACACAACTTACCTTTAGTTAAGCAAATCAAAATTATAAAAATCCAGTTTGTATATTCCATGTGCATTTTAGAAGCGTTCATCGTGTATATTCTAATCAGTTAAACAATGGGTGAAATTCAAATTACAAAATCATATTCTAGACACAATATATTTTAACTTCCTTATATTAAATAACTTTTGTTTTGTTGATAATGGACTTTAACCCCAGAGATGATAGGCCTAAGTACCATATGCAAATTTGAAGATAGATAACTAGTATGCAAAAAACGAAGTATGTGACCTTAAAGGTTTATGATCATAGTTTCAATTCTTTGAATCGGTGTAAAGACGCAATAGAGGACGTTTTATCATTATATTTCAAGAAGTTGAAGTCGTTGAATGATATACTGATCAATATCCTCAAGCGTTTTCAGTTGACATTAGAACAATTAAATGTGTACACCAGTCAGTGCTAACAGTATTTAATCCGAACAAATTCAACTACAGCTATCGTATCGAGGTTTAAATAATTCACTGATTTTTCCATTTACTCAAAAAACTCAAATCCACCTTTCAAACAAGAGGGATATCAGTATTTCTGCATCTGAATCTAACAGAATATCAACAAGTGAAAGCAGTATTATATTCGATCGGAGAACAATATGTAATAGAAACAGTGCTACAATGACCTGAAAATCGTACAATTGTTTTATAGTTTAAATCACTAAAGAAACATCTTTTTCAACATTGCCAAGTAATAAGACCTAAGAAGACCTTAAAAGCAGTTCATCATCATATCTGTCGCTCATATTTGTCTTATTGCTTTAGTAAACTTATAGCTTCTTAAGTAATTAAAGTTTTTCCTCGAGATTTCTTGGGTTAACATTAACATAAAGAGCCTCATTGAAGTCTTTCATTTCCATATAAGGGTTTCTTCCTGTAAGATGTTCTCCATTTTGGACACGAGATCTGAGAATGTTGGTCGTCTACCCGCATCGTGACACCAGCATTCGGCCATCACATTATATCTGCAAATTAAAACGAATTTAATGCAAATTATAAAAATAACATCAAAACGATTTGACACCTCTTAATCCGGATTTAGATTCTGCTCGATTTTGTATGTATCGGTTTAATTTGCTCACATTTTCCCAGATCTAAGTAAGAATACTAAAAGCTCAAGGAGTTAACTTACATCTCTGATTTAAAATGCTGTTGCCTGTCCATCACCTTCCCAGCTTTCACAAATTCCATGACTTCTTTGCCATTCATCCCAGTATAAGGCGTCGATCCTAAACACATTAAAATACCATCCGAGCTTCTTTAATTTTTTTAGGAACACATGTCCGTTACTTTTTCAATTTTTAAATAATTGAAGATTTCCGAATCTTATGAACATTACAGGGTGTCCCAGAACTCATGAGAATTTTTTGAGGGAGATATAAGACATGAGTGATTTTTCTTCACATTTGGTACACTTATTAAACACACTTTGGGGAATAACTGACATGAATTTCAGACACATGTCTTTTACATTTCCGAATTTATTGACATTTGAGTTGTACATCGCCACAAACCCCGGAGTTGTCAGGAAAATAGAACAGTTATTGTCACATTTTGTCATTAATTTTATGCAAATTCTCAAGTATAAAACCAAAGTATTTTGTACAAGCTCAGTTGAGCATTTTTCTCATATTGATGATGCACTTTGATAAAACGATATACAAATTTTGATAGAGACCCAATACATCAACGGATTGCACATTTGGTTTGCTGAAAGATCATAATGACATGTTCCTGAGGGACTGAAAGAAATGTCCCCATTTGCTAGCCAATATGATCTTGCATATTGACAATGCACCAGTGAATAAGTCCCTACATGCATGTCAGTAGTGCATCCAATTTACTAAACTATTGAGACTTTACAGTATATAGTATCTCCATGTATATGTCAGATATTGCTCTACTAGACTTTTCATTTCTTTTGAGACCTTAAACAAAGATAAGTTGGCCATGTCACTGAATTGGAAGAAGAATTGAGTCATGTTGTTTCAGAGAACCCTACAGAAATGGCTATATTGGACAATTTGGGAATGTGTATAAAGAGTAGCTGAAAAGACGACATCAAATGCAGATAATATGCTACAATGACTCTGTAGAGATATGTTAGCTGAATGTGTATGATCCTATTAACTAATGTACTGAAACGCCGAAATAATTCAATGAAAGCAATACTATTATAGTAGAGAAATTGTGTAAATATTGTCAAAATATGACGTAAATTGTTGTATTTCCCTGACTACTCCGGGGTTTGTGGCGATGTAGAATTCAAATGTCAATAAATTCGGAAATATAAAAGACATGTGCCTGACATTCATGTCATGTCAGTTATTCCTCAATGTTTGTTTATTAATTGCACTTTATTTGAAGAAAAATCATTCATGTCTTATATCTCCCTCAAAAAATTCTCATGAGTTCTGGGACACCCTGTACATTTTTACATTTTATAATTGATGAGATATCGTATTTGTTTTTTTCCCAGGAGAGAGGGGCATATCATGAGCACATTGGCATGACGAATATTGCACCCACGATTGTTCACTGTAAAATATGGCTATTACTTAATTTCATATTTAGTCAATTAGTTTACCGAATGTAAGTATTTCCCAGAGGAGTATACCATAGGCCCATACATCATTCTTGGTTGTGTAAATATTGTGGAACAGAGCTTCAGGAGACATCCATCTAATGGGAAGACGACCCTACAATATAAAGTTTTATCATATACCGAATATGTAACACTCATCCTGATTGGTCAATATATAGTCACGTGTCATCACCCGCCGAAAGTTATATTCCCTCAAATGTGAGAAGCGGGAATATACATTTGAACTATTGCCCGCTGACGTCATAATTGCAACTTCTTTTACCCCAGGAAACGTCTGCGCATCGTCATTGCGAACACGAAAAACCAAAAAAATGGAGAAAACACACAGACAGAACTCAACTCTGTTCACCATGACAGCCGTGCGAGAACGATACAATATTGGCAAGATGGAACGTTCCCTAAGATCAATATGTCTGTGTAATTTCAAATGTTATGTTAATTTATTTCCCGTGTTGTACATGATTGAACTTTCAAAGTGAGAGTCTCAGAAATTCAGAAATCCCCGACGAAAAAATTCTGTTGAGCATATCATGAAGTCACGGGTTTTAATGCTAACATAAATATTGACCGGGGGCCTGACTGCCCTGCTGAAATGACAAATCAATATTGGGTATATAATAAAACAAATAGTATATTTTAGAGAATATTCCCTCGGGGAAATAATTTACACTATCGCCCTCAATGACAGTCACTATTTGTATAATAATATACTGTATATAAATTGACATTGTTTGTTGCATTTCATGTTTTCTGTTTATGAACTGCGTCTAAAATGTAACATAACCGACTAAATGAGACCAAATCACCAAATCTCACACACCATAAAAATGAGCTAATGATTGAATCCAAAAATGACTTACTTGTGACGTTCTGCTATACAAGTCTCTTTCTCCAACATCCCTTGAGAGACCAAAATCGGAGATTTTGCACACCTTATTTGCACTCAATAGGATATTCCTTGCTGCAAGGTCACGGTGCAGGAACTAGAAATTAGTAAGGGCTTATTTGTGTGTATATAAATAACTAAGCACATGGTCAAAAAGGAAAGGAAAGGACTGTATAGAAATCTAGTAAGGAAAGCAAACTTTAAGTGTAAACCTGTCATAGGAAATATAGACCCTCTATATCCCAAAACAATGTTCTAACGTGGAAAGAAATAATGACCCTTCTCCAATTGAAAACCAATATCACAATCCAGGACCAAAACACCAAGGGACACATCAATTATGCTGAAGTCATTACAATACATAAACACACGTAGAAGAAAAAAATAGAAAATAGGGAGATTAAGCTACACGGTAATAAACAATGTCTACCCCCTTGTCCTCCAATTGAGAGCAAATATCACAATCCAGGACCGGAACACCAAGGGACACATCATTCATGCTGAAGTCATTACAATACAATACATGTTGAAAAGCATTGGAAGACAATACTCATAACATCAAAAATAGTTGTAGATTCAAGTACTCATAAAAGCATTCTGTCTCAAATGATGTGGGATAGACAAAATTAAGTCTCAAAGTCCATAGGCAATGTAAAGGGTCAACATCCATTCATAAAGCCGTCATCACAATCCATAAAACACAACAATTCACAATGGTTATTAGAAAAAATCTATAAAATGCTCCCAAGTGTTATAGTTATCATAAGATGGATAAAAGACGCACTTGTAAAAGATGCTTGACTGTCACAGTATATATGTTGAATAAAGAAATTTAAAGGAATATTCCTTGCCAGACCCTTTCTCTCTTGATATGGTAGCTATAATCATATATATAGTTCCCATATTTAGCAAAACATGGGGAAATGTTTTAATATGGTCAATATTGATCATTTAAAAATCTAGTGCTTATTTCCAGTGAGCTGCCATCTTTAAAGATTTCTTGCAGGAAGTGATGTCATCAACTCTCAACTTCTATAACATTGCCCATAACAGTATAGGAAAGTAGCACAAAATCACTTCTAGGCAAGTGATCATTACTTTCTGTGCAAGAATATTTTCAGGGCTTGTCAACTTAGAATAAAAGAAGAGATTTTCAGAAGGATTAAATAAGATACAAAGTTAAAAAAGAATATTTAGCTGGTTTTGTAATTCTTAATAGCTCCTCACCTAATGCTATATGCAAAGGTGAGAGTCGATGACATCACTTCCTGTGTGAAATTTTAAAAGATGGCAGCTTACTGGAGTTGAGCATCACATTTCTAAGTGATCAAATTTGACCATATCAAAACACTTTTGCGTGTTTTGCTAAACATGGCAAGCATATATATGGTTATAGCTACCATATGAGGAGAGAGATGGTTTGGCAAGGAATATTCCTTTAACATCAATGCATAAAACATAGTTAATGATCAATATAGAGAATAATACTAAATTCACTTGCTTTGTAAGATGATATCAGATTCATTCCACTTGCTATCTGATATCCAAACTGTATCAATTCTTTACTGGTGTCCAACTTATCAGACCTGATGTACCTTGCTTTGTTGGCTCGTAGGTAGCTTTGCAGGTCTCCCAAGGGTAGATACTCAACGAGTATCATCGTTTGGTCTGTAAATAGGAATGTGATAATAAATAGGAATATGATATTAAACATTGATATAATTTATCTAACTGGAATATAATATGAAATAAGAATATTGATATATCTTATGGATATGATATGAAATGAGAAGATAATTATTATATACTTGTGGGTATGTACAGTATTAAGATATAAAAAAATGAATACGTTATTTACACTAAGATGAATGAATTAAATAATTTACTATTAAAGATAAATTAGTTATCGAGACCTATGGGCATTTTGATTCTAACTGAAATGAAACACTAAGTTACTTATATTTGTTTTTTTTCGCATTTTCGGAGTGTGTCATAAAATCCTTGTTCATCAGTGACAGTAATAATTTTTTTTTTTATTTCTCTGCAAGATCTCTTCGAACTTCAAACAATGCTATATATCTATAAAAACCAAAGGCCAATAATTCACATGCAGTATAATTTTTAATATCATACCATTGTATTTTGAGTAACCTAGAAGTTCCACAACATTGTTATGTTTGGGTAACTGCTTCATTAGATCCAATTCACGAAGTAGGGCCCGGTGGTCGTCATCAGATGCATTATCTAGAACGTGGTGCACCAGCATTACATCAACATTATATGTACATCATAAGAAATTGTCATAAACAACGGCACAACGACATGAAACACAATTATAATGTACAGGGTGTCCCGAAAGTATGCCCCCCCCCCAAGGCAGACATACACCAATGTTCCCATAGTATGTGTCATTTATCATTTTAAAGCTCATCCAAAGTTACATTGATTTGCCAAGTATCATCATTTAACTAACTAATGGGAAAAAGTTACAGGCATTTCAAAACTTAGTTTTGGGCCAAAATTAAAGTTAAAATCAGTATCCTGGAAACACCGCTAACCTGAATGTGACCAAAAATATGGGTGCTATCGTTAAAGAGAGGATGGATATTGAGTTGTAAAAAGAGGTCGGTAAGGGCAGATAGTCAAAGGAAACTCTTCTAAAATGCCTTAAAAAGGTTTTATGAGGATTATTAAATGCCATACCCCTATTTGCAGTGTATTTAATGTCATTTCTGGAAAGAATTGCTGCTTTTAACATGGCCAAGGGAGATGCGGCAACTATTAATTTTGTGTAAAACACTACAATTTGAAATGTGTGTAACTTTTTCCTGTTTGTAAGTTGAACCATGATACTTGGCAAATCAATGTAACTTTGGACAAGCTTTAAAATGATATATGATACATACTATGGGGACATTGGTGTATGTATGCCTAGGGGGGGGGGCATACTTTCGGGACACCCTGTATACTGACGAGACATACTGTATAGTACTTGAATTATAACTAAACCATAACTTACCTTTTAATATCTTTGCAGCGGCCATAAATGGGGCATTCGGCATAGTATTGACATTCACTAGTTTTACAACTCCAAACTCACCAGCACCTAATGAGGCCCCGATGTCAATTGTTTCCATTGGATATTCTTTGTCAGATGTATCAGATGGCTTAATCATTCAAATAGTTGTATTTGAAACTTGAAATGCGTTTTTCTAGTGACTGGTCACCGCGGAACAACATTTACAAAGAACAAGGATTGTACATTCAAAACAAATATAAACATGATCAAGCATATTCTAAATCCTGTTTCTGTAGGTAATAACAATATTAATAGCATTTAATTTGGTATTTTAACTTATTTAACTTACAATGTGCAGGTTGATATCATCTTTGTTAAGCTGAGCATATGTGTTTGTCTTAAAGTCAACTTCTTCATATGGAACATTTTGACTTTGTTGAAAGACAACATTTACCTCGCCAGTTGAACTAGTGCTATATAATAAAATATTAACAACAATAAAAAACGAATGAGGGGGATTGCAACAAGGAGTGGTAAATCTCGAGTTCTCAGATCGCAAGGTATCAGCCAATATAGTTTATAGTAAATATCATCCTTCTCGAGATATCTTGTTCTTCCTGTCAGCAGGTCAGTACCCATACTTATATTTAATGACTATTAACATTTATCGACAAAAAATCATTTACTGTATATATAATACGTATATAAAAAGTATATTCCCGTGAGAATTTTTTTTAAGAAATATGAATATTCAGAAATTTGCATCTCATACATATATTTTCATCCAGTTTAATCATGCGAGGTACTTCTTAAATGTCGAAGAATGAGGTATGACGTTTTCCATTAATATCAAAAGGATGCTAACGAGTCATTCCACTCAATTGACTTTAATTGTTTACTCATACCGATTGTTTGAATCCTTTTGTAATAACGAGTTTTCTTTCTTTAATCGTTTGTTTTCATTGTGCAGCTTGACTACGAAGAATGCAAGTACAGCGATGATGCTGATGGCAACAAGTGAACCAAGAACTCCCCCGACGATATTTCCTGTTGAACTACCTGTCGAATAAACCAAAGAAAAATACGATTTGCCTTCATTGGCTGGACTGTTTTAGATGTGATGTGGTCTGATTTATTTCTGACTCATCTGACTCGGTTGTATATCATCACGGATTCATTTGGGTGAAAGCGTAAACGAGTGCAGTAACAGTGAATAAAACACAGTAATAATATGAGTCTGAAATATAAAGAATACAACATTTTTATCATCTGTAGTTACTGAACAATTTAGAAACATATCGATTTAGAAGACTTACAAACCATGGGATTTGAGCACATGGAGCAGTTGAAGGATGTTTCCGTTGATGGGACTGTCGCTGATGAAGATACTGATGTTGTGACTGTAGTCGTTGTTGTTGCTAAATGAAAATCCCATATTCTCAAATACTCGATTTAAATCAATTCCTGTATAAAATGCATTATGTATATTCACAGAGTGTGTTACATACGAAGCCTTACTATAGGAAACATCTTAAATAGGCTGTACTGTGCTGTACTGTATGTTGCCAGGTAGATATTAAGTTTGAATACATACCAACAACATAGATTGTCAATTCACTGCATTCCCGATAACCGTTCAAGTTATTGCTAGCACAGCATCTGTATATCCCTGCCTGGTTGAATTGGATGTTGTTGATATGTTTTGCATCTCCAAATTCCCCAGTACTAAAGTTTGGATCACTCGTTGTTCTAAACTGCCATATGTACGTTGGATTAGGGTTTGCTAATGATTCTCCTTTTAGTAGTACATTTGTCCCTACTGTACGTTGTAATATAGCTTGGTCTGGAATATTGTTGCCATTGACAAAAAGGGTCGGCTTAAGTGCTGGATCTAAAATGTCCATGGTATTATTATCAGAGCAATAATTCGCAAAATTTTCTTGGAGTTGTGTTTTGGTTGATTTTTGTTTTTGTTTCTTATAACTAATAGCTTTAAAAATCATTTTCATAAACAGTGGATGATATGCGAAATGGTGTCTTCCACATGATATTGCAACTTTAATACTCATTTTTAATGATAAAACATGATTACATTATGATTCAACATAACACAACACAACATAACATAACATAACTAGAATGTAAATTGAACAAGTTCAATTTAAGACCCAATATTTCAAACTTTTTTTAAGCTGAGTCATCAAGAATACTTGTAAGCTGAGTCATTCTGAATAAGCTGAGTCAGCTAGAATATAGACATTTAGACAACTCTCACGAATGTTATCTTCGACTCCATTGGCTTAACATGGGGATATCATAATATCGACTTTTCGAGACTTCAGACCGCTATCACTATCTAACCAGAAGTTGGATCGAAATTTGATTTAAAGATTCGGATTCCTGAGAAAATTTTACCCTTAATTCATAACTCATATTACGTTAAACTTGGAGAACTTTTTATTTTGACCTACGTTTCAGACACCTTATCTCAAATGTGGGTCAAAATACTTTCTGACGGGAAAAGGCTATTAGCACACTCTTTGCTACTTGTATACACAATTTTGAAGCAAAATGAGGAAAAACTATGAATTTGACCTAGATTTTAACTGATGCATTTTGGATTCTTTTTCAAAAAATCTTTTTTCTCATTGAGATAACATGGGGCACCAAATTTAGCGATTTTTGAGCTTTCAAAACGCCATAACTTCCGAACCGAAAGTCGGATTGAAATCTGGTTTGCAGATCCAGATTCCTGAGAAAATTCTACCCTTAATTCATAACTCATGCGTTCATTTTGGAGAACTTTTTATTTTGACCTACATTAGGGACACTCAAAAGTGGATCAAAATACTTTCTGACGGCTATTAGCACACTCTTTGCTACCTGTATACAAAATTTTGGAGCAAATTATTAAAGCCCCCGATAAATCGGGCTACGTATACCGCCGTGTTTACATTAGGGGATTAGAAGAGTTTATTTTCAGTTAGGTATGCAAGCAATATTAATATTAGGCATTCATGCATGTACTCGTGTGTACAATCAGCATGCCCTTCAATATTATATAAGCCAGGCTATTCGAGTACAACATAATGTACACTATTCATGTGTGTACTAATACAATTCCCTGGGGAACAAAACACACATACTTCTTTATATGTTCAAAATGAGCCATTTGATTGATGCATACACTTAATACCTTCATATATAAACATCTACAAAGTATATCTTAATTAAATACCTCGGTCATTTAGAGTTGAGTTCAAATGGGAGCTTACTGAACGATTCATTAGTTATGAGTAAAACATTTGATTTAACAAATAACACATTTACATGGCACAAACAACTCGAAAATATACTGTGCCATATTGAAATAAAAATGTCTGATGAATTAAATCTTGAAGATAAGGTAAACATAGAGAAGAGCACAAATAGGCTTGCTATTAAAGTCAAAAATAAATTAATAAAGAGATATCAAGTATATTGGAAGAATCTGATAAGTGAAAATGGGGGGAAACTTAGATTATTTAAACAACTAAAATCGCACTTTGGATTTGAACACTACCTTTCAGAAACGACACTTTCAAACGCTAAACATTTAACTAGATTACGAATAAGCGCCCACGATCTAGAGATAGAGGCCGATATACAAAACCCATTACTGATCTTAATAGCCGATTTTGTAAATTATGTAAGGACTCGAATATAGAAGATGAAACACACTTTTTATTCAAATGTAAACAATTGGAGTATATCAGAAAATCCCATATTGAAAAACTTGAAAACCTGTGTTGTAATTTTAAAAACATGAATGACCACCAAAAGACAATTTTTCTATTGACAAGTGAGGGGATCACAGAGGCGTAGCGTGGGTATTTTGTGAGAGTACGCCACGAGTGAGCGAAGCGAACGAGTTCGAGGGGGGTTGTGGGGGGGGGGGGTCACCACTAAGAAAATTTTAAAATGAGATTGCATTTGAAGCGTCCTGGGTCGGTTTGAAATAGGAAATTCCGACTTAATCTGGACCAATTAAATGTAAATTATTAGTCATTTTTATCCAATATTTTATGATTACATGAACCCGTTTTAAAATAATGGCAAGACGAAACAGGTGCTTCTTGGAAATTAAACTCGTTGGCGTCATTTTATTGTTTATAACTGTATACTCATTCTTAAACATGTTCTTCAGGTTGGCTAATCAAATCACAAAATATATTTTTCTTCTTTCCACAACCTTTATTTTACTATAACCAGTACGTTTCGGATCCTGTCTGGATCCTTTTTCAACTGTATAAAAACTGAACTGAAGCGCCACAAAACAATTAAATAAAAACAATATTACGTCATATTAATTCACCAAAAATTCATTCCAAATTCCCGCCAATTTATAGTTCCCTTGATCCCTGTTCATATTATTATCATTTTTCTTTATAAAAATAGATTCTTTTATCCATCTTTCAAGTCTCTTATTGTCATTGTCCAAAACCATAGTATTGTTCCAGTCCATTACGCAATTATTCTGAAGAACGTGGTCCGTAATGGCTGATTTATTCATCACCCCTCTCATATTTTCTTTTGCTTGGCGCGTGTAACGTGAATTGTCCCTCGAATCTTGATTTTAGTTTTTATACAGTTGAAAAAGGATCCAGACACGATCCGAAACGTACTGGTTATAGTAAAATAAAGGTTGTGGAAAGAAGAAAAATATATTTTGTGTATACTCATTGTTTATAAGTATAAACTACGTTATAAGTATCTGAAAAAAGTACGAACGTCCCAAACTCGTACGCTAACGAACGTAAAGAAGCTCGCAGCCGTACAAAAATATATGTATTTCAGAGAGAAAATTTAGATTATTACAACACAATAAAAAAACAAACAACACAGGATTAGAACAAATCATTTATTTTGTTTTTCATATATGATTATTACTGTTACTGTTATCTTACTATTTAAGATCTATCCAATATTTTTAAAGTGCGGGGCAATTCATTATAAAAAATCATTTTTCTCTCATATTTGAGAGTACGCAATGGCGTTTTTTGCGTATATGACGCTACGCCATTGGATCATATTAAAGTGTCTCACATATTCGATCAAAATTTGCCATGCAAACATGTTAGTCTACTTTACTGGCCCCCCTTGCTGTAACAAGGAACCCAAAACAAATTAAAACGTAAACATAAACCAATTAGTCACTTCACTATAAAAGTGAGGGGTGTACGCTGTGTGCATGGACTAACACAATATCAGTGGTCATTTACTGTGTCAACTTAGTAACCCTTGCATATCGTGCTCACTCAAGTATTGAATAATTTTTTTATGATCTAAATGTTTGTGGTTTATAAAAAAATGTGATATATTTTAGTTAGAAATACATTAATTAATATATTCATTCAAACAGCACTAGAATGCGGGAAGAAAGAGCAATGGTGACAAAATGCAGACAGAATTTTCCGTAAGGGTTTCAAACATTTCTGAACACAATCATACATGTACTTCATGTGTACTGTTATTTTTAGTGCTGTATTTATAGATATAATTTCACGTATTAAAATCATATTTTCCAGCAATGACTTCAAATTCGGAACCACACCCATATTACATTTTCTTCAATAACTCCAAACATGTGTAAACATTGACCATGTGCATATAAATTCAGATTTCACGAGCTCTTTCCTATTCGAGTACCTCATACACCCCTGCATGGATTTGAGTTGGATTCGCCTTTTATACGTGAGCAGACACACTCGCAAACGCTGATTGGATAAAGATTGCGAGAATCTTTAAAAGAATCTGCTTACATGATGAATCATCTAATGATTGATTGAGACAGGATTCTTATGCAAAGTAACATTTTATATGTCATTTGAAGAATGTAATCCTATTTTCTTTACTTTATTGCTATATTTACTGTTATTGTAAATTGTATGTCGGATGTACGTTTGGCCCTAAAAGGGCATCAGTACTAATAAATCCTATTATGACTATATCTAACAGTCATTTTCAATTCCAATGGTGAAACTTGCCTGGTTACGATTATACGGGAAATCAACACGAGACGATAGTTGTACACCTTCCTGGCTTACCTCTGAAGCCTGTACCTTGTAATCCCTTTATATAGGTTAGCGAGAGCGCTGCGCCTGCGTAGTTTTAAATTTTGGCGCACACTTTAAAGTGTAGTATTAGAATCGTTAAAATAAGGAAAAACTATGAATTAGATCTAGATTTTGACCGATGCATTTTTGTGTCCAAATTTTGAAGCTAGGTAGCTTTTGAGGTCCCCTTGTTTTATAAGCATCCATAATGTTAAGCTGTACTCAGTCTCTATATCTTGTATTTTACACTTTAAAAATGTTTTTTTCCCATTGACCTAATATGGGGCACAAAATTTAGCGATTTTTGATATTTCAATACGCTATAACTTCTAAACCGGGAGTGTGATCGAAATTTGGTTTGCAGATTTGGATTCCTGAGAAAACTTTACACTTATTTCATGACTCAAAATCGGTAGTAGTAATAAAAAAACTGATTACATATAGTCGAATCGTCTTTTTATTGGCTACACGTTAAAAAAAATTTGAAAAAAATATTGAAAAATGATAAAGATAATTGACAAAATGATAATTTGACCTAGATTTTGACCTTTGACCTAGATAAAAATTTGACCTAATTTCTCAGAAACTAGGTCACAAACCCTAACTGACCATGTTAGTAGATTTAAGTAAGCTCTTCTAGTTGCTGAGAAAAAGTGTCCGGAAAGAAAGAATAAGAAAACTGGCAAAAGTAATAGACTCCAGATTTTCAATCAGCTTTTCAATCTGGAGTCTAATAATAACATAACATAAAAAGAAAATAACATAACAATAGCATATTGAATACTTACATTGTATATTAAGCCTAGTGGAACAGTGTTGTTGGATATTCAGTACCCTGAGAGAACAATTTAATTCCTTCTGGTTATCAACACTAGATGCTGTTTTAGTAAACGTTGACTTGAAGACCCCCGGTGTAGTCTCATCAGGTGTTGCAGTTTGCTCAATACCATTAAGTGTCCAAGTAATAGTGGGTTTCTGGCTACCATCTCTCTCCCCTACATATGTAACAGACCACTCAAATGTGATGGTATTATTCTGAATAAATGTAGTAGTCCCTAACATGGGACATGGCGCTGGATCTGGAAATAAAGCTTTTTTTTAGATTTCTGTTTTCCTTATTTTAGATTTTCTTAATAAACATTTATATAAGTCCTGGAGGACATCGGATATCTTAGCAAAAGAGTACGTAGACAATGAACTTTATGCCTGTGTTTTTTCTATCTAAATAGGTTATTCATGGGTCGTATTAATAACATGTCGATTATTTTTTAAATTCCTGTATGAAGAGTTTTACAATTGAGAAGAAATGCTTGGTTTGCACCCCTAGCTTCACCTATCATGAGTCGATATGTTTTAAATTATGTGAACAAAACAGAACTGTTACGTGAATCTTTATATAGGTGTAATACAGGGTGGTCAAAAAATTGAAACCCTAATACCATTTTCCTCATATCTATTTTAAGAAATAACTCCCTGATATTTTGCACTTTTGTAGATCATTCGATTTGCTACTAGCCTACATTATTTTACTTATGGGGATATGGCAGAGATAGAGTATATGAGAATGACCTCAGGACAATTGCAAACCTCAAAAGTAAGATCATCCATGTCATTCAGGCCATATCTGCTGAGCAATGCATTCGGATAATTGACAACTGTACTGTTTTGCCGAAAGCGCGATGATGGCCAAATCTGAAGCATGTTATTCAAAGTGCTGTAAAATTGTGATTATCGGTCTGATGGTCATGAAATATCGTAGGGTGGTAGGAAATTCAATAATGTATAATTGTTTGGGTATAAAAGCTCCAATATCTCCATTATTATTGGTGCAATATGTTTTATACTCTATGGGACATATATTATTACATCATAGATACGAGTTGTACAAAATATGACTGCTATAGCTTTACTTGTTGCTATGGCAACTGCTTCTTTATTTCAAAAAATGTTCAAAAATGGCAATTGTCGTATATTTGGAATGCAGAAACGTTTCACTATCATATTGCAAATTGGTATTTTTGGCCATCGCCACATTTTTACAATTTCTATGGTATAGGTGACGAATACAAGACATAAACAAATATTTAACAGTCTCCAACAATTCACATTTAAATATCAAAATGTCAAACATAATTTTTAGAATTTTGTTCAATAATAATTCATGTTCTGTTGGTATATGTATATAATTTATTTGACCCTATCAAATTGAAGCTGACAGATATTGAAAATTAATAAAACGTTAATAAAACAAAATATTTCTCAAAGCATTAAAGGAATTATCTTATAACTTTGACATACGATTAACATTCTTACTACCAATATATTCTGTAAGAATGAAGACCATATCATACATATACTTCAAGTTATTAGATGATAACATAGTGACCCCTTAAACATACTTCGGATGGGGGTACACATATTCAAAAATCATGTACATCTAAGAACTTCACAAAATTACTTTCTCCCAGCAGTGTAGCATACATATCTGTCAAGTTTTTGAACATCTTTAGGATTATCAAGCATGCTCCTACATTAAGATAATTGATGTATGCCATTGTTCTTGATATTTCGAAAGCGTTTGACGTGGTCACACAGCAGCGGCTCTTACTAAACCTCAACAACTATGACATAACTGGAACTACACATTCCTGGGTCAAGGGCTTCCTCAGCAACAGGACCCAGAGGGATATCTTGGAAGGAGCTAAGTGTTCCCCTGTCACTGTAACTTCTGGAGTACCGCAAGGAACCATTCTCAGTCCTCTCCTCTTCCTACTATACATAAATGGCATCTCGGAAGGCCTAAATTCCAACATCAGACTATTTGCCGATGATTGCCATATTTAGGCTTGACCATCTGCAATGACCTCAGGTGGAATGAAAAAACTGGGAATGCAGTCTCTAAAGCCACTAGAGCACTTGCAGTTGTGCGTTGCGACCTCCCAGGGTGCCCCACATCCCTAAAAGAAAAGGACTACACGTCCATCGTTAGGCCCCATCTTGAGTATTGTGCCTTAATCTGTATCCCATACCCAAAGGAACATTAATGCCCTAGAGCAAGTCCAATGTAGTGTTCTCCGTATGGTGACACAACTATGCCAGAGAACCAGGTACGATCACCAAGTTATATGATAAGTACCAGGGGGATAAATTTGACACTAGACGTAGCAATAGCAGACTTTCCCTTATGTACAAAATAGACGTAGCAATAGCAGACTTTCCCTTATGTACAAAATAGTAAATGACAGGGTAAAAATCACTACTGTAATATATAATTATTATATTATTTCCAATCAATGGAGGGAAAATAAATCTAATAATAATAATAATCTTCAGATTTCTTGACCCCCTTGAGATCAAAGACACGCCATAACAATACTCTGAACTTCACCACATACTCTTGCAACACTGACATACTCAAATACTCTTTTGTACCAAGGACCATTGTTGAATGGAATAAGCTTGATGACACCACTTTAATCAGCCCATCAATAGAACTCTTTAAAAAGGACTTTCTAAGGACTAAATCATTTAAAGTCTCACAAATTGTCGATATGTACGAAAATTGCCATTTTTGGACATATTTCGAAATAATGAAGCAGTTTCCATAGCAACATGTAAAGCTGGCCCAGTCATATTTTGTACAACACGTATCTATGATGTAATAATATATGTCCCATAGAGTATAAAACATATTGCATCAATAATAATGGAGATATGGGAGCTTTTATACCCAAGCCCCATAATTGGAATTCCAGGGGGCGTAACATGAAATAGCCATCGAACCCTCAAAAATTGGGAACTGAAAGGACGATTCTCGGTTTGGAGAACAGTCTCCTGGGCTAATAATTTTTTCATGAAAAATATAGAAATATTACCCAAATTAAACTATGAATATTCAAAAGAGGACATTTATATCTACAAGATGTAAAAATAACAAATTGGTCTGAAGCAGGGATAACGCTCAATTAGACCGATTTAATAAAATACAAGTCTCAATTTGGGGAAAGAAGTTCATCAGTGTACTGCGCTAATATTTTTTTGCGAGAAATCTAGAAATATTACCCAAATTAAATTATAACTATTTAAAAGAAGACATTCAAATCTATATTATGTAAAAATATCAAATATGTCCGAAGCAGGGATAATGCTCATTTAGATTGATGAACTTCGTTCTCCAAACCGAGAATCGTCCTTTCAGTAATCAATGCCCCTTCAGATGGCCAAAATGATCATATTTATTAAAATTTTTAGACTACATCGCACGGAAATATCCTTCACCAAATTAGTACAAGGTTGCATGTGAAACTAATGCCCAATGTACATGTATTATATTGCAAAGCGTATATAAACAGCAATTAATATAACTTACCAAGGACAACCAACTGAGGTTCTAGTCCACCTATCGGTGCTCCAATTAGTACATTATTACAAGTGTACTTTCCAGCATCATCCAAGTCAGTGTTCTGTAGACCAAGGTTGTATGGTTTCTCTGTATGTATAGAGAACTTATTTGGTATATCCGTCACAGTTATTCTATCATTAACCGATAATGGTTTACCAACTCCTGTTCTGTTAGTATGACCTATCCACTGTACAACATGAGTAGCTCCAGATGCAATAGGGTCAATATGACAAGTCAACTCAGTATTCTGTCCAGAAAACACAGCCCTATCCTGTGGACCTTTTATGACCACTATATCTTCTCCCGATGCTACAAAAGATATACCCTCTGTAAGTAAGAAAACGTACATGGTCCTTTGTCAGTCATAACATTTTGAAATATTTTGTATGACATAACTAGACTCTTGGAGGCACATGGCGTAAATATTGTGAATAACTGGTGAAAATTTGAAAAAACTTGATGAAAATTTAAAACAAAGTTAGCAATGGTTAAATACATTGTCTCACAAACTCACAATTGTGTACTGTGTACAACCTGTGGACCCCACTCAGTGGACAAGAAAAAACGAATCTCTAATTTTTCAGAATTCCCTTTCACTTGGAAAAGATTCTGAATTAAAAGAAAAATTTCTTGAATTCGTTTCTAGTATAACTTAATTCATTTCTTCTTGATTTACTGTTGGCATTTAAGCTTAATTACTAGCACTTACTCTCTCGCCTTCTCTAATTTTTGTTTTATTTATAACTTGCTAACCTATAATGCAAAATGCGCTAGGCAGCGACTACTGTATACTTTTTAAATCGAATAAATATATAAAGAAATGGAACTAATATGTACTACTTAATTACGTCATGAATTACAATTTGCTATTATATAGTATAGTACATTTTCCAAAATGTACTATACTTTCCAGTGCCTAAATATGATTTTTAGACAATTTACGCCTCAAATAGCATTGAAATTAGGGATAGGATGTAACCATTTTGCTCAAGAAAAACATTTACATATCATATTTGACATTATGGTATGCATAAGCTAAGTATAGGATGTATAACATATATTTTTTTTGTAATTCATCTATACTTTACATTTACATATTCTTTACACATCTCGGCTTGACATCCTCTTGGATGTATATAGCCTTTTTATATAAATATTCAAATAGATAGCTGATGCTCGAACATTAAACATTTAATAAACAAGAAGAAGAAACGAGAGAGAAAGGGAAAGAGAAGAAGAGAGAGTTGCAGGGTTTGCAGTGCATATGGTATTTACATAACAGCCTGAAGTTAAATTAGGTTTATGGGGCTCTTTCCATTGCATTTATAGTTATAAGTCTGCACCAACAAAATTAGAATTTATTAATGTTAGCTTTATGATTTTTTATGAGTAATTTTTTATAATCCAATTTAAATTAATTTTTGCTATTGATTTCTCTAATGGAGTTTGGGAGTTCATTCCATATAATTTGGCCTCTATGTTTGATGGAGTTTTGACAAAATACTGATTTAAAATTATTGGACCTGAGATCAAATTTGTTTCTTGTATCTCTTTTATGGACTCTGCCATTTGCTATAAAATAATCATTGAACATGTTGGTAGGGAATTCCTTTAGTCTTTTGATACAATTAAATACAAATAAGGCAGCATTGAGTTTATAAACTTCGAACACGGCAATAAATCTATATTTCTTAAAGAGGGGTGCTGAGGGTGTATCTTTGGCACCCTGTGATATAAATCTCAGAAACTGTTTCTGTAGCCTTAAAATCATATCCATTAATCGTTTGGTTGCAGTTCCCCATGCAAGAATACAATAATTTAGGTGACTATATATAAGCGAATAATATATTGATTTCAAAGATTCAAATTTTTTTCGGTTGTGTACCTTAAATAAAACACCCAGTGTTTGTGAGATCTTCACAGTGACATGTTTGATATGACTTTCCCATGAGAGGTTATCATTGATTATTACACCAAGAAAGTTAGTTTTGTTAATTCGTTCAATACTACTGTTCCGTATATTTATTTTCAAAAGGTGCGATTCATTTTGAGTGAGTTTGCGATGTGAAAAAACATGAATTTAGTTTTGTCAATATTGAGCGAGAGTTTGTTCACCCTTAACCAGTCATCTAAAATGTCTAGATCATTGTTAATATGATGAACTAATTCGTTTAAATTTTTACCAGAAGCAAGTGAATTCATGTCATCAGCAAAAATTATAAGCTTTAGAAAAGAAGTTGTTTTCACAATATCATTAATATAAATGAGAAATAATATCGGTCCTAGAATCGACCCTTGTGGAGCACCACAAGATGTTTGGATTGGATGTGATACACAATTGTCATACTCCGTCGATTGAGTTCTATTTGTCAAGTAACTTGCAATCCAGTTATGAGCGATACCCCTTATTCCATAGAAATGTAATTTTCCAAAAGAATCTCGTGGTTAACAGAGTCAAAGGCTTTCGATAAGTCTATAAATATTGCAATATTAAATTTTTAATAATTAAGTGATGAACGAAGTGATTCAAGAAACTTCAAAAGTGCCATATAAGTTGATGGTCTTTTTCTAAAACCAAACTGTTGTCCACAAAATATTTTAATTTTTTCCAAAAAAATCAACAATTCTGTTGGCCATAACTCTTTCTAAAATCTTAGAAAAACGGACAGAAGTGAAATTGGGTGATAATTGTTAAATTTATGTTCATCTTCTTTTTTATATATGGGTGTGAATTTTGCATGTTTTAGTTTATTAGGAAATACTCCAGTTCTTAATGATAAGTTAAAAATATAGGTCAAAGGCAGTATTAACATATCTTTAACATCTTTAACTAAAATTGGTTTTATTTGATATCCACCAGCAGCCTTGTCCTCCAAGTTAGTCAAAATCTTACTCATTTCATCAGAATCTACATTGGATAAAAATATACTTTTGGTGAAGTTTTCTTGAATTTTATTCTTGGATTTCATACTTATTTGAACCAAGATAACAGAGTTCTGTTTTGACCTCCAGTCAGTTTAACCTAAGTTCCACATATCATTTACATGACCAGGATCATGATGGCCATGGTAAGAATTCAATTTGGTATCATATGAGACATTAATAAATACATCGACGACCTCCCATATGGAATGAACTCATGGACACTGTCTCTGCGTCTCTTCGTTACTTCCCTATTGCATATAGACATAACAAAAAAGTCCATTACTCGTACACGTTGACACATATATATTCATCTTACCTACAGTGGAACACATTATAATTATGATAATCCAGCAGCTTATATACTCATGCATTTTCTTAACGTTCAAAATATTCCAGTATGTTTCCATTGGTATAGAATTGAGATTCGAGTTTGTAAATATCATCATTCAAAATCGCGCTTCAACTATAAATGTTTTAACTTCCTCGTTCAGTAATCAGTTTATTTTGTTGTTTATGTACCTTAACCTCTAAAGAGCGATAATCTAAAGATAAACGGTTTTAGTTCTATCGTTAAAACGACGTATGTCATCTTCAATGTATATCATCTTATATTTTATAAGTAATATCTATTATTATCTCGAATCATTTATCAAACACAAGATGGCGCACACTGGTCTGTTAACCTCGGGGATATCTATTTTAGGGCCATGCAATTTCATACTCAATTGACCCTATTTGCAATAGAAATATTTCTACTCGCATTGGCTTGACAATATTGAGTGTCCTTAAACATTCCTTTGTACTTCAATAATGTTTATCACCAAGGTCACTGAACCATGACACAAAACTTTGGCATTTTGATCAAAAATGACTTTTAATTATCCATTGTTTAATTTCCAGTAAACACGTTTCTATATCGGATAATAATATTAGTTTGCAAAACGCTGTTCAGGTTCTAAATACATGCATGTTTGTAACTGTTTGCAACAATAGTTAGTCATTTTATGTAGTCAAAGGTGCCAATTTATCATACATTTTCAGGAAAACTTAAGAGACAGAAGAAAAACCGTATTACGAGGGTTGTCAAAGAATTAATGTACGATATGTTCTTACTGTTTTTGAATATTCTTCAATTCAGCTTAATTTTGTGTTTATTGCAATTGGAGTATTATCTGTTGTATCCTAAAGTTTCAGTATGAAACGTCAATGTTGTTACGCGGTATATGGCATACATTCATGGTTGCGCGGTATTTGTGATTCGGGTGAATATCCCATACTCACCTGCGGTATATGGCATATTCCGCAAGTGAGTATGCGATATTCCGCAGTGAATATGCGATACATTGATTTCAGTGAATACCCCATACTCACCTGCGGAATATGTCATACTCACTTGCGGAATATGCCATACACCGCAGGTGAATATGACATATACCGCAGGTGAAAACGTGATACAGAAAGCTTTGATTTGATTGGTTGCGAGGGTCGACTCTAAATGTAAAACTACGCTGGATTACCAACATAGTTAGTGCGTCGAGTACTAATATATGAATCCTGGATTGATTGAGTAAGTTTATTACGTGAGATTGGTGACTGATACCTCTGTTAAGTTAATATATTCGATACACAGTACTGTTGATTCAGTAATCATTATTATAATTTATAAAATTTTACTTATTCGTTCAATCAATGCAATTGACAATTGCGTACTTCCGTATCAAGTTCTCATTGGTTAGTGTGTATGCCATATACCGCTGGTGAATCTGGCATACACCGCAAGTGAACATGCCATATTCGTTGCAGAATATGACATATTTTTGTATCGTGTTTACCGCGTAATAAATGTTAAGTCTTAAAATGCTTGCTATAGCAATACGGGGGTAGGGATGTGTGGAGTAGGTACAATCTTTTCTAATTATGAAAAGTTCTTAAGTGTTGTTTTGTTTATATTTCATTCTTTAAAATGATCAAAATGTATGGGAAATTCCCCGGGGGCAAATTCATTCAGGATGATGTTCGCCAAGCACAAATAATGACATTTAGCAGTGTGATGGCAAAATGCCACGGTTCAATAGTCACAAACGCAAATTCGTTCACAGTCAAGAATTGCAAAAATGGCTGCAATTCTCAATCTGATAAGAACATTTCTTTGCTTATCCGACGCAAACGATTTCAGAGGAGCGTACCAGGACTGGGTAAGAAGCCATCAAAAGTGCGTCATTTGCAAAGGCCATGACAGTATTCTGATAAAATATGAAATGGGACACTACGATAATACATCAACTAGAAAGTATTCCTTGTAATTTAGTCTTTTAAAGTATATTTGAGCGTACTTACTAAAGCTAAACAAAAATATTTTTGTTGATTAATTATTTCATATTTTTTCAATTTGTTATTTCTTTTGACGTGACAAAGAACCTGCCCCTCCCTACCCAAACTCACCAACTTGATTTCATTATATCATCAACATAGTTAAATCGATCGAAATGGAACTTTGTCGAATGATCAAAATATCTCCACAGATCATTCATACTGGGGCCTAGGTGACTAGACAATAGTCCATGGTATGAAATCTCTAGGACGTCTAATAAAGGAGCTGGTAGCACACTATAGCGCAGCAATATTTGACCTAACATTAACATACCTACATATGTTCCCTAATACTTTTTATTATAACCGTTTAAAATACTTCCGGCTTTTAGGCTGAATTATGCCTGCTATTAACAGAGGTCAAAAAATTACCAAAAAATAAAATCCCAACTTTTCACAATTTGGAGTACACAATGCAACAGAAAATAGTACAAAATGATTTTAAATATACGATTTAGGTTTCTAAGCTATAAGTTTGAGGTTATTTTTCTTATCAATACCAAAAAATTATGTAATCAGTGTATCGACGTTTTGTATTGTTTCTAATGTATTAATAAGATAAATGCTACACATGAATCTTTTTTTATATTAGAATGACAAATGCTTAAATCATGCTAGTTTTTCACAAAATGGGTCTCAATACATTTTGAGATATGGACTTTTATTCAGCGCTTAACATTATCAATAAAGGAAGGTCTATTGCTCTTCCTTGACTAATTGGGACTTCAGCTAAAATTATATTTCTCGTAGCTAAATATAGCTCAGTTACTTATAAAACAACCATCAAAACTTGGTCGAATTCATGAATAATTGAGAAAAATCGTTATCATTATCTTCCTAAAATTTGATTGTATCCAGCGGTAAGGTCAAAGAAGAAACAACCAGAAAACTTGATGATAGCCACAAGTAACGTCGAGGAAGAATTATAAGGCATTCGATTTCATATGACTCTAATTGATTATTAAACATGCCTTTGGAATATATGAACATATTCCGATGCCTCTGTAACACTTAATTTGATATAAATCGTACCTATTTGTTATTGTATTATGTACATCATACAGATGATTTGAAATAGGTTGGAATGTGTAACCTTTCATGTAAGGAAGGTTGCATTTCTAGAGCACTTCTACAGAATGGGTCACAGTCTAAAAAGGTATTTCGACTCGAAAGCTGGAACTATTTTCAGCAAAAAGTATTTCAAAAATCAAGACATATACACCTCCTTAACAATTGGTTCAAATGTTATATCACTATGTGTGATGCAGATCATTCACATTCTGAAATCAAACCATAGACAACTTGGGCGACGAATGAAGTAAAGACTGGGGAGCTTACTCACGTGTCGTTAAGACATCTAGATTAGGTGAAGGTGTAAATTTAGTGTGGCTCGTTGTGTGTTTGCTTGAGAGTGTCGTTCTTGGTTTGGTAGCTACATGTCCTGTTGTAGAGCTATATCTAGTACCAATTTCAGATGTTGTTAGTGAAGTTGATCGTATCCCATAGCATTCAAAGCAAACCTGCTCGAAATTATTACCAAATGGCAGTCCGATTCTAGGAATGCAGCTCCCAGAAATGTTTGGAGCAAATGAACAATTAAGTTTGTTGTCACATTGTTGTTTAATATATGCTATTCTTGAGAGATTAGCAGAAATACAGCGTATAGTTGCATTGGTACATTCAAGTAATGGATGGATAAGGCGACTCCCGATGATTGCATCAGTTATGTTTATTATCTGACCAGATGGACAAGTCAAATTGAAATATTTTGTACTAATGCACAGCCTTTTACAACCTGGAAATACATACTTAAGATATACATGTATGAAACGTGGTTACAATAATAGTATTAACATAGTATTCAATAATGGAATGCGTTTTTGGACGAACTACATGTACCCTGTCCTTGGCGGTAACATTTTTTCCGCTTGGCCCACATGATATCAATTACTCTAAAGCGCAATATCTTCGGGTTCAACACAAACTATTTACCCGGCTGTTACTCTGAGAAAAATATTAACTAACCCGGACCAAGTTGTTCGTATCTAGTCTGATACACTGAAGAGACTGCATCTAGTTGATTAACGACGACAATCCACACCCAGATCAGAACCAGAACAGCCTTCATCGTTCGTAAACACCTGCTTCTTCTCCTTAGTAAAATTCAATCAGTCCTACTATATGTATCCGGATGTATTTGTTGTAAGTATGTATATCGAATAAAATGTATTTTTGCTTTTTATAGAATACTTGACATTTGGAATTGCCGTGATGACACCTCTTTTCTGGAGAGCAGATCATAGTTATATTTATCGTCCATAATTGAAAATCAAACACATGCACAAGTAGATTATCACAGTGATAAAGTATGGACATCAACTATTTTTGATAATCTTACTTCCTTCATACACAGCGCCCTGCGTCTATCCGTCTATTTGTGTTGTCGATGGATAACTACAGGCACAGTATAATTTATTTCTCACTGAAATATACTGAGATTATTAAACAATGGATGTTCAAAATACACATAGACAATCATTATTAATAGTAATCATAGAATAAAATAAATCCTTGTTATTCATTTGTCCTAAAATAATTTCGCTATCTGCCTTCACAACTAATTCCAACTGTTTTAAATATTCTGATAGAATGGTACAATTAAACCTCCTAGCTAGAATTGTTGTCATTCGTAAGACTTTATACAATTAAAATTGCAATTAAAATCATGCCAATCATATTTGTCCCATATTAATGTTCCTTAGCCATTTTTAATCTAACCTTTATTCATAGCTAAGTAAAATGTTGTCATTTGTATTAGCATTTACAATTGCTTGGTTTAAAATCCCAATTTTTCACAATTTGGAGTACACAATGTAATAGAAAATAATACAAAATGATTTCAAATATATGATATAGGTTTCTAAGCTATAAGTTTGGAGTTATTTTTCTTGTCAATAGCAAAAATATGTAATCAGCGTATCGACGTTTTGAATTGTTTCTCAGGTATTAATAAGATAAATGTTACAAATGAATCACTTTTATATTGGAATGATAAATGCTTAAATTATGCTTGTTTTTCACAAAACGGATCTCAATACGTTTTGAGATATGGACTTTTATTCAGCGGTGAAAATCATCAATAAAGGAGGGTCTATTGCTCTTCCTTGACTAATTGGGACTACAGCTAAAATTCTATTTCCCGTAGTTAGATATAGCTAAGTTGCTTATAAATCAACCATCAAGACTTGATCGAATTCATGAATAATTGAGAAAAATCGTTATCATTATCTTCCTAAAAATTGATTGCATCCAGTGGTAAGGTCAAAGAAGAAACAGGCATCAGAAAACTTGATGATAGCCACAAGTAACGTCGAGGAAGAATTGTAAGGCGTTCGATTGCATATGACTCTAATTGATTATTAGACATGCCCTTGGAATATATGAATATTCCAATACCTCTGTAACATTTGATTAGATATAAATCGTACCTGTTTGTTATTGTATTATGTTTTATAAAACATGAATAATAATTTGTTGTTAGACCCCTTGCAATTATATGGAAAAAATCTGGTAATAAAATGTTTTAAACGGTAAGAAAACTAATATGTTCCCAATCATAAATTACCTAAATATTCCACACAATTTTGTTGAATCGACTTGGCTCATATTTGAAAAATCAAACAAAATCTGAAAAACACGCTTGCATAATTACACTAATTAAACACCGACATCTACGGTAAAATTAGATAGTATATTTTTAAATTATGATAATCTATTTTTGTTTGTATGCTTAGAATAACGGTCTGTGTCTTATAAAATGTATAAAAGTTCGAATCAAAATATTTACGTTTTTGATCTCTTGTGATGAAACACATTTTTCGACCCGAAAGCTGGAAGTTTTTTCAGCAAATGGTATTTTAACAGAATCAAGACACATGCACCTCCATAAATATTGCTTCAAATGTTGCTGCGCTATAGTGTGCTACGGATCCTTCATATTCGGAAGTCATATAATGGACTACAAGAATTTGGATGGATTTAGTACAACAATGGAGGGTGATTATTATTTAATCAACTATTTATACAGCTAACATGCAAATATTGCTACATTCCTGACAGAACTTCAAGAACTAGAGACTTACTCTTTTTCGAACTGATTAAATCCCCCATTGGTGATGCATATGTTTTTATATGCATATTTTGGATTCTTCAATACACACTATGTTATCTCCGGGATTTTACTAATCACAGTAGGGAGAGGCATCACATGACCTTCGCAATTAATGGTGTCTGGACAGGGTGTTAGTATTTTCGATTAAGCCAGAAAAACGAATTTTTCATATTTATACTTTGTTAAATGTGTTTAATCTTGATCCACTTTCGCATACTATCTCAGTCTTTCAAATGAACCTAAATTTACAAGCAGAGAATGCATATTTTTGAGATATCACTGTTTTTTTGTTTCGAAAAATGCTGGTGTCCGAACAGCTCTAAAATTCTGCATGATGGTGTCTTTACAGATTTTTAAAATACATTATTGGATACTAGGTTTGAGAAAACTGGCCCCACCATACACCATTGTGTAATGCAGATCATATAACGCCCCGGATGTCGTGTCGTTTCGTTTGGTACCCAACTTAAGCCCCGGGTATTAAATAAGACCTTGCAAGAAACGATGAAATACGCCCTAATATTTTTAATCATATGTTCGGTTCTTATCCAATGAGAATGCGAGGAACATTTCAATGATATAATAAATATGCATATATCACCCGCTCAATACTCGTTAATTTCGTTTTACGTTAAAAGCTGTGGAATTTTAATGTTAAGACCTTTACATTTGGATAAGATATTCATGTTTTGATTGAAGTTATCATTTGTAGTGTTGTACCTGGATTATGCAAACTATAATTTGCTCCAAACCTGAAAGGTATTACTTTTTAATATAGCAGGAGATGTCCATGGTCCACCCTAATCCAGGTCCGAACAATCTGTCATTTTTGTTATCCAATATAAATATCCTCTCAGCTAATTGGTGTATACGATTCGACTTTGTCCAACGTGTCAGTCAACAAACTAGAATTACTGAACACTCCAAATCATGCATTGATTACCCTTTGACCGAATTTCCCGATATCTTTGACAACTGGGATGTCACTGCTGCAATTGAAAAAAACTGACCGCAGTACAATTTTTGCACCAATTAAAGTTGGTGTTACTAAATCCAAGCCTATAAAAACCATTTGGAAGTTCCATGAAGCTAATCTAGAAACTTTGAGTGATGCAATTAAAACACAAAAACAGTTCAAATATCATCGATAGTAACACAATGCGTCCCTAAAAACGCAACAAGCAAAAACATTGTAAAACCAAAGAATTAGTGATGATAACATCAATTTTATTTATTTTACCATGAAGCCATATGTCTATTCTTTCCAATATTATGTCAAGCGAGTGACACTCGAAGAGTAAATTATTAAACATGTTAAATAATTTTAAATAACCACATCCTTTGGGGAGAGGTAAATGATCCATCGAATACATGAAGTGATTCAAGAATGTTACTGAGGTACCTATTGCAAGGAACATTAAGTCATTGAGTTGATCAGATACATAATATCTTACATTCGGTAAAAGTAATAAGGATATTGGGTCAACACGACCAAAATGAGCGACAGATCATTTTATTTGTCGTATAGCTTTTAGTAAACTAAGAAAAATCAAATTTTTGAAAGCTATTAGAGTTTTTCTTTGAGATTTCTTGGATTTACATTAACATAAAGAGCCTCATTGAAGTTCTTCATTTCCAAATAAGGAGATTCTTCCTGTAAAATGTTCTCCATTTTTGACACGAGATCTGAGAATGTCGGTCGTCTTCCTGCATCATGGCACCAACATTCTGCCATCACGTTATAACTGCAAATCAAAAACGGTTTTAATACAAATCACCTCGAAGTAATATGAAAAAGTCTGACCGCATTTAATCAATATTTAATTTTTGTTCCGTTATGAATGTAATGTGGTTTAATTATAAAACACAGAGATTTAGTGTAAATATGCGCAATATTAAATTTAAGCAGTTTTTAATTGTCCAATTTTCGTTTTAATTTGCTCACACCTTCGCAGACTTAGTGAAAATACTAGAAAAATGCTGGATGAAAGCTTACATCGCTGATTTACAATGTCGTGGCCTATCCATCACTCTCCCAGCTTTAACAAATCCCATGACTGCTTTGCTCTTCATCCCAGTATAAGGCGTCGAACCTAAACATATTAAACGCATCATTTTAGGATACATGTATTTTACTTTACATGAACACCCGTTACTATGGTGTCACACAAAACATACCAGACATCACAAGACAAAATCGTATGGAATAATTTGCGATAAGCTAGTTATTAAGCTTGTTATTATGGTCTTACTAGTGGTTATTATTGAGTAATGGTACAGGTATTCGATATGGTATTGCAGCTTACACTTAAGTAATGGTACACGTATCCTTGGATTTTAGGCCCGAATACCGAGGTTTATTTTTTTAATTATCGTGTATTATTATTTTGTGTTATTATTAGTTAACCATATAACTATTGGCATGATATGATAACCTTGTTATATTAATATAGCGCATAGGCGTAGCCAGGGGGATGCGATGTGTGCGATCCCTCCATAACCAATGAAAATAGAACTATTAGGTAGAAGAAAAAAGTCTTAAAATGCTTTTTATTTGAAGCTTCTAGCTCGATTTTGAACGAAGTTGCACCAATTTTTGTAAAATTCAAAACAAATCTTCAAAAACATTTTTTATGCCACGATCGCACCCCCCCCCCCTTCCCCCCGACTGAAAGCTGGCTACGCCACTGTAACGTGTAATCAATACGCTACATTTTGTATGTTTAATTTGTATACTAAAAACTGTTATTAATCCACAAATTTAGATGAAGACAAGATAAAAATTCGAATCAAGAATGAAAAGGTGTCTAAGTATATGATTCTTAAGGGTAATGCATATTTGAATTAAACAGAGGCGGGTTAATTTATATTGTGCTATGAATTACGCTATTATTCAAAATTGCAGCTAAGATGCCTGTTTTACGATACCCTGCGTGCAGAGTCTAGTTAAACTACACTAAGACGAAGCTCTCTTTTAGTGAAGTCAAACGAATGCAAAGGGTAGT